GCATATTTACTTTGATCAATGTCACCACCAGTGCAGAAGGCTCAGAGTACCATCTCAAATGGCCCCATTTGAGAGGCCAGTTACTTTAGAGATATCATAGAGACTTGGTGAGTCTGGGGAAGAAACTTTGGAACCAATGGATAAACTTGTCTTGGTTGGAATTCAATCCTCTTTCCAGATGGTGGGTGCCTGGGGCACATGAGCATAGGCCACGATAGGCTGGGGTGCTATAGTGCCAGCAGAAGACGAGGTACCCAGTCTGGACATTTTTAGTTCTGCAAGGAGAAGGCTTTTGAAGGCTTTTGCTTTATTATTCCTATTAATGGCTGTGGGGGGGAAATCGCACAATTAGAGGGATATGGTAGCATTTCCAATGCTCTTTCTACTACCCAAACTGGTCTCTCTTATCCATTATGTTTCAATAAGCCTATGAGAGATTATTGGTTTATTTACCAATATAACACTTATTTTTTAAAAGGCACTTTAATGCATTGAGATTACAGACATAGCTCCCTTGGGGAGCTGACAACCTAGCAGGGAGATAGACAATAAACATTCAGTATAATGAGTGCCATCAATACAAGTTAGTACAGTGATATCATGGGAGCATATAGAATGTGCATTTTTACCCAGACTGAGGCAAGGGAAGAATGGGAAGATGCAAGGCTTCCTAGAAGTGATATGTGTTCTGAATTTTAAGAAATTATTCTTTCATAGACCAAGCATTCATTCACTACATTGTGCTAAAAATACTTTTCTGCTCCACTGTTTGCCTATAAGCATATGCCAGTACCAGGATGAATCATTAACAAAACAACTTTTTGGAATCTGTCCATCCCGGTTGGTTGGCCTTAATCCTCAGTTTGGTTCAGACCACACAGGATTACATTTTTTCTCTATTTTTTTCTCTCTTCCACAATTCAGATAGCTAATTATGAGGTTTAAAATACCAATATCCTTTTATAAGAATAGCAAATACCTGCAACCCAACAAACAAGGAATGCTGCTAATATTAAAAATCTCTGAATAGAAAGAGTGAAATTCTATTATCACCTTCTTGTGTCATCTCTTTCAAGTCCTTCGCTGGCTCACTCAGGTAGAGTCACTCAGTATGAAGTTCATCTATACTCCCAAAGCACCTTGTACATATTTCATGTTACATATTAGCTCTTATGTCTGTCTTGCTTACTAGACCATGAGTGTTTTAAGCATTAGCACTGTGTCTTTTTCAACTTTTCATCCTCAGTGCACAGCACCAATCCTGGTTCATATTAAACATTCAGTAAATGTTTATTCAATGAATAAACATGGAGGAATATATACCTTTCTTAAGATATTTTAGCCACTTCCAGAAGTGATATGCAAGATCTCTTTGTTTACCATTATCTATCTGTTTTTAGCTTTTTCTTTACCGGCATATCCTACTGTTTCTATCAGGATCGTTGTTCAACTGGATATTTGGGAAATTATACCCTCTAGCACCTCTCAAGACTAACAAGGGCTTTCTGCCTACTGCTTTAAGAAAGAACGGCTCTGAAATGCAACTACACATGGCAGCCAGTAAGACTGTAGAGAGTTTTCCAAGAAAGAAATCTTATTTAGCTATACAATACTGAAATTATAAGCAACATTCTTAAGTGGAATTAGAAGAATACATTCATTTGCCAAATTTTTATTGTTTCTTTCTCCCAGAATTTTGTAAAGTTCCTTGTTTAATGAGACAAATAAAATAAGTCCTTCCAGAAGATCACGATTTAGTGAGGGAGAAAACAGGCAAGTAATCACTACTGCTAAAGTCTGATGTCTCAGTTCACATTTGGAATGTTCCAAGATCAATCTAGAAGTTATTCTAATCCATTATACAGATATAGGTTGGTTAACTTAAGTATTCAACTTAGAAAGTTACTAGAATCATTTTGAAAGTGGGAAATCCAAATCATCAACACTACAGGGGTGTATACCAGTGACATTCTATAGTTCTTTTTTATTCTAGTTTGTTAGCGGAATCAGGTATTCTGGTTTGTTAGCAAAATCAGGAAATTTGACTTATAACAGCAATTCACGTTCATATTCTGGTAACTTTACCAAAGCATTCACTTAGTTCAATATCCTTCACTTGTTTCTAGAAACAGGAGAGATTCACAGTAGATTATGGAGGACTAATGTTTCTGGAGGCTTAATCCAAGTATTTCTTAAGCAAAAATAAATTTGCTTGGCAAGTCCCTTCCTGTCTTGGGCAACAATGTCTCCAGCTATCATACCAGAGGATAGTCTCAGAAAACCACTAAGGAAGCATCCAGGCTAAATAGCTTATAGGCTTAGGACTCTTGAAACTTATATGATTAGCCTGAACTAGAATAACTAGATATGGGCCCAGACAAGAAATACACCAGGAATTTATTTCTAAACTTTAACATTTGTCATAAAGAAATCACAGTTGAAAGGAAACCCACAGCAACAATCTTATTTGTGATGTCTAGACATCTCTTCTGTATTTCCACATATTAATTTGTCCCATTTTAACTACCTGGTAATAGCAAATGATGTCACAAAAACTTTTGTTATATAGACCACTGACCAATAAACATTAGTACAGCAGACTTCTATTGAATTGAGAGGGAAAGTTTTAGGTTTTGTTACTGTTAATCGCATCAAATGGATGATGCAATCAATTTTCATGACAAACACTTTTGAATAAATGTGATAAAGATCCCAGAAACATCACAGAGATGGAAACTCAAATAATTGTATTTAGATTAATCTATGGTAGATGGTAAGAAAATTGTGGCTAAAGCTAAACTCTTTTTGGGGGGCAAGAAATCAGCCTAACTTATAATTTTGTATATCAAAAGGTAATCGACTTTTACTCTCTTAGGAATATGCCATTCCAGTGAATTTTCATCTTGTGTTTGTAAAATGTGAATTTTACCATAGGCCTTAACTGTAATAATGAGGAGGTGTACATGAACAGTAGCTACATAATTTTATTTATTACTTTATAGAGAGAAATGTAATACCTTAACTTTAAATATCAATAGTTTTTAATTTCTAATATGAATAGAACTTGACTTTGAATAAGGACGTCAAGTATCTTAAATCCCAGAAATTATGTTCTCTTTCTCCCCACTGCCCTGTTTCTTGTTGCTATGTTTATTAAATTCCTAGATGTTTCTATTTAGTTTTTAATATCATTTCTTTTTGTTTTCATAACAGTAACCTAATAATGGGATGCCACATTTTAAAAAATGTAGATTGAAATATCCTATCATACTTCACAGTTGGTCTTGCAATTCACTGGGAAATAGCTCTAAAGCCTTAAACAAGGCCTTTATTTTGTGTTTTTAAAAAGTGTCATAAGGAGTTAATAGGACACAGCTGTACTGGTTCTTTCTAATAAGAAGCTTCTGTCGCTTTGGTCACCACAGGTGTCTCTGTAACCTGCAAACTCTTATTACTAGTGTATCAAAGTTGTGCTACTTAACAGACTTCTTTAGTAAAACATAACAAAGCAATTACATGGCTGTTGATTGCCAGTTATAAAAAAAAAACCCTCAAACACTACTTTTCAAAAGAAACTACACTGCAATTTTTTGTCATTGTAAAATAAAAGGAACTAAGGAATTAAATGGAGGATAGAACAAAATAACAGCAGGTAGCCCGCTGAACTTAGCCACTACAGATGGTTTAGAAATAGTGTTTCCTTCTCCATCAAGTTGTGGATAAAAGGAAAGGAGGAGATTCCTTACTGCCAGTGAATGGCAAAAGATTTAGCCAAGTCTCCAGTCTATGTATTTTGCCTCATGAAAGCCCTTCGATGCTGCATTTTTATCTGTTTTTGGCACTGCTTTTCATCACCTTTAACTGAGTGTGAATAATAACCTGATTTAATTTAAACAAATACAGGTGCTAAAGGTTCTTTATTTATGTATAACAGGGAACATTTCCAAGGCAGAACGAAGTCATCCTATGAAATTTCCTAACCATTTACTTAAAGAAATGAAGTACTAGATGAAGAAATTGCTTCAACATTCTTTTGCTTCACATTTAAGAGAAGAATCATCTTTCTTTTCAGATTCAGATTACATAAAACAAAGTCTGAATGATGAGCAAAAATTCAGTGAGCCATAAAATAATAAAAAGACAAATGAGATGATTTCTAATTGTTCTACAGTCATTTAAATTAGGTAACTACAATAGGACTGCCTTGAAATGAATGAATTTAATCTCCCTGTTCATAAACCAGCAGTCTGTGATGATGATTGTGTTAACACACCCAAAGTAGCATCACAGGATGTTACGGCCACATGTGTAATTAAACACGATGAAATATATTTCAGATGGCAAACTCAAATAGGCAAAATATGAATAATTATTCATCACTTACAGATATTATGATTAACAAACTAAGTAAATTTATCCTGACAGCTAGGAAGGGGATTTTTTTTTCCCCCATTGAGAATATGGATGTAATGCTGGCTGTGTGCAAAAGAATGTGTGCAATAAAGCGATTACATCAATTAGCATATGCTAGAGTTAAGCTATTACCAACTCCAATGGACTGGTCCAGAATGTCCTGCCTTCATCACTGGAATTATTAAAAACTAAACTTACTAGTAGGATTATATATTAGATTTTCCTTGTCTTTTCTGAATATTATTAGAAACATATTTTAATATTCAACAACATATTAGAACATAAGAACATACAGTACATAGGAAGGTACTATATTATTATTATTGCAAAAAGACAAGAACAATGTATTTTGGTTTTGGTTTTCAGGTTATTCTTGAATTTAAGAAATCTTTTATTAGTTAAGGTATTTTTTCACAATTGAAAATAACTGCATGTTAACTACAACAAATAGCTTTTATCTAATTAAATGTAATAATAGAAAATTCAATGCTGAGGATGAAAATGTTTATGATGATAAGAAACCAAATACAATGATGACTTTTAACAATAAAAAAGCCCAACTTATAACTTGTGAACAACAGTGTTACCTTGCTCTGTTGGCGTCCTTTGTCAGGTCCCAAGCCCAGGTTATAAAATTTTGACTCAGATAAGAGACGATAGATTCAGCACAAAGCATTTGTGAGCAGAACACGTTGGTTAATACACTTTCATCGTGGTGGAGGTAGACAGCAAGAAGCTTTCTCTGAAAAGAGGGGAAAAGACTGATGAATTAAAATATGCACTAATGTAAGATTTCTTGAATTCTGGAAAGGCACAGTCAGTCAATATAAACAACAGTAAAAATTAAATGCTATTCCCTAAAAGAGTAACTGACACCTGGACATCTACTAATGTGAATACATTTTGCTTCCTTATACTCTAAAAAGGCTAGGATGATTGTATTGTTTTACAGACTGCTGTCGCAGATTCCTGTTAACATGTGCAAGCCTATCTCAAGCACAAATTGCAACAGAATGGCATTTTCTTTAAATAAAATGGAATTACCATTCTTTGTATTTAACACATACTTTATATGTAAAGAGAAAATTAATTCTGAACTATTCAACCATACAGAGAAAAAAATACTGATGAAGATTGGATGCCAAAATCTCTCTTACATATTTTTTGTTTTTAATCTGAGCACTAAATAGTCTCTTCTACTTGAAAGAAAAAGGTCTGAAATAAACTTGTTTTAGTTCCACAGGTAATTTCAAAGCCCTTAATGTGTTCCCATGTCAAAGTCCTTACTTAAGAGCATGTGACATCTAATTGCCATTTGAAAGGATGATAGAAAAATGTTCACTCCACATGAATTCTTTCTAGTTTATATTTCAGAAAATGTCCAGTGAAGTTTTTCATATGGAAAATTATTCTTTCCCTTTTGCCTGATAAAACTTGCTTTCAAGAAATGACATCTGCTCTCTTAAAAGTATCCTCTGTAATAGTTGGATAATCAATAAAATAACTGAAACTAAAAACTGAAATTGAGCAACATAATTTGCAAATGTCAGCTTTAACCACAACAATGATGATTAAAGAACCTAAATTGTCCTTAACTTTTTGGTGCTACCTTGGAGAAGAGCTGAGTTAAAGAACAGTCAGTTACCAGGACATGGAAAGATAAAATTTTATGCTAAGGACAATATACACATTTAATCTGTGAAATTCTGGTGAAGGAAAATTTCAAGGAAGCTGTAAGAATGTGATGATGAAGAAATTTGCTGTGTGGGATTCTAAACAAAAGAAGGACATTTACAGAAAAAGGGCTCATGTAGATGAAAGTCTGATGCTTGGAATTATCCTGATAAATAATCCAAATAATAATCCTAATAATAATAATAAAAATGTTTTCTTCAAAGAGAAATTTTGTACTAGATGAGGGTAGCCAGAGGTACTTTAATCCCCAGAATAAACCTGTAAAATAGCATTCTTAACTTCATTAGCCTATGCGGAAACTGAGCTTTAGAAACCTGACTTACCCTAATTCTAAAGCTAGTAAGTAAGTGGTACATCTGGGATTGGAACCCAGACTGACTGACTCCAACCCTAGTGTTCTCTATTTGGATACTGAAGCAGGGAACCTAACTGCACTATAGTCAAGACTTGGAGAGCTTGTAGAATATTAAGGCACCAGATGCTCACATATATCAGTGCTTCCGGGGCCTTCCCAGCATGTAATGGGAATAAGGACAAAATGCTTCCATGTGTCCATTCATTCATTCATTCATTCAAGAAGTATTGGTTAAAATATTCTTCGTGTCAGGCCCAGCAGGAAGCAGTGGTGATTAAATGCTGAACAGGAAAGATTTAGGGTTTTTTCATCTATGTTGATATATGCAGATACCAGTAGCTGGTATCTAGGAAGTTTGTAATCAGATACATTGTTGGAGAGATACTTATCTAGAAAATTCCTACTCATCCATTAAGGCTCAAAGCAAATGCCTCTGAGAAGCCTTCCCTGATTCCTTCAGGCAGCATTAAGAGCTTCCATTTCTGGGCCTCTATCTCTTCTATTTTAGTATTCCAATTGTTTACCAGTTTCCCCTCTAGACAAAGTTTCTCAAGGGTGAGGACCGGGTCTCTTTCAGTCTTCTTTGTATCCCTAAGTTAGCACAGGACTCAGCATGTTTGAGGAAAGAAACATGAATGCTGATATCAACCATAGCCCTCTGGCAAAAAAGACACCAAATGGTAGCTGCAATGCCAAATCACTCTTAGTAAACAAATCTAGAAATCTGCTGCTTTAGGGAAAGGAACGTGAACCTGGCAGCACTAACAAATTCAGAGCTCCTCTTCTTAGAAGCTCTCTGGCCCAACAGACAGGGGGATGTCAACCTCTAATTCTGCTTGATCGTAACTCAGCAACTACCTTTAATGAGACACCGGGAACAAGAGAGCTGTCCACTTTTGAATCAGCATATTTCTAACCAAACAATAGCAATGGCTAAATCTTTAAAATGCCTATTTCTCTCAAGAACACTGCAATGGAATATTTAGACTTTGGGAAAGAGATTAGCGATTTACATTGCTATCTTACTGATTTAATTTAAATGCTCTTCCAAACTAAATACACATGTGCTGAAGAGGCTACTAGGAAACCCAACATGGAGAGTTCCCTATACGTGCAGCTGACAGTGTTGACTGAAACTAAACTTGGAAATCCAGGGCACTAATGCACAATATCAAGCAATAAAACAGCATCTCTTTGGCAATATTTAATTTAAAAAAGAAGAAAGAGGTAGGCGAAGATCAGGCACTGTTTTGGAGGATCAACCATTCTGCATTTCAAAGCACTGGTCCCTGCAATATCCAGGTTACTGTGCTAGAATCTCGACTATTATATCGCAGTTGTGAGAGGGAGGGCAAAGATGTGTTTACTCAGTGATTAGGCCCTTAGAATAAGCCTCTAGCTCCTAGAGAGACAGCTCACCACTTATTCATTTGGGCCAATTCACAAAGCCTAGGAAGATTAAACATCCATGCTGAGAAGACAAGCGAATGCAGACGGTGAAAAAGAAATAAAAATTCTTTAAAAACTCTGAGATGACTTCATTATTTTTCCACAAGGAAACTTTAGGAAAGTGTTTAGTTAGAGAAAAACCCACATTGACCTCTCTCTAAACCCTTAATCTTTCCTTTGTGGTGGCATTGCTTTGTGGTAAGCGACTGGCTTGCCTCACCCCTCTTTTCACTAGAAGCTGAGAGAAAAAAGGCTCTGGAGAAACAGTTTTCGTTCTAGGGACACAAACCCCTGACACTGTTAAACATGAGATGCCAGGAAAACACACTTTAAAAAAAATTCTCACTTTAAGCTCTAAACTGTGAGAAAGGAGATGATACAAAGATATCAGAAAAGGATCTTCAGGTTGGGGGTACTCCCACAGTAGCTTTCAAAAGAGAAACTGAATAATCTTAAAATAATCTTTTCTCTCAAACACAGTAAGCTTTCAACAAAAATTTTTCTTCTGCTATTATGACAGTAAAAATAAGCAAAATATAAAGGCTCAATAATATGTAAATGCTACTAAATTTGGGCTACATAAATCTCTGATTAAACTATAGGCACACCTAAATGAACCCCAGACTCAGATTTCTGATTACTTTATTGAGCTCAACTAAACACAGTCCAAAACAGTGAGAACTGCATTCAGCATATCAGAAAACTGCTTTTGTGAAGAAACGGCATCTAGTACATAGAAAAAGCATAGGAAAATGTTTTGTTTTCTATTACTATAACCATTTTTCCCTTTGGCCCATTAATAATTTAGTTCAATAACATTTACAGAGTGCCTATGTGTTAGGCATTGAGAATACAAAGATGAATAAAACAAAGTTCCCTTGCTCTCTAAGAGCTGGGGGTGGGGAGAGGTGGCGTATGGAGAAAGCAAAGAGTTAATTGCAGTATCATATGAGAAGCAATAAGATTGGGGCATTAAAAAACCCTACATTTTATTTGTCCTTCCTAATTTGGCAGAGAGGTGTAAGTCTGGCTGACGACAAATGCAAGCAGCCCAGCTATACTCTCCTCAGACTCCCTCTTTGTGATCTAGGTTTTGGTTAACAGTTAAAGGAAAGTCTCCAAGCATTAAAGTAACAGAAAGCTCTGTGCTAAACCCAGTTTTGCCACTCACCAGCTGTGTGACTGTGGGGGTTAGATGGGTGTTGTAACAATTGTGGATAAAGTAGGTAAAGTGCCTATTTACAATGCCTGGCCCATAGTAGGTGCCAAGTAAAATGCAGCTGTTAGGATCAAGATTCCGGAACTATCCATGCAAAATAAAGGATTTGAAAGCCATTTCAAGAGAAATGATAGCCATGAAAATGTATGAAAGATTATACAGCTCCTTCATTTCTCCTACTGGCCATAGTGTTTGGGATGCTTCATTGTGTCTGTGCCTACAGGGCCTCACTAATCTTCACATTCAAACCCAGGAGCTAAGGTACTAAGTTGATGCTTAGGAAGTGCCAAGCTGACAGCAACCAGTGTGACTTGGCCTTGAGCTACAGTAGCTATTGTATTTAGACACTTAGCATCACAGAACCACAGAACATTAGAGCTGGAAGAAATGAGCTGGCTATGTCTCAAAATAAGCCAGGCACAGAGCAGACACTTAGAAAATATTTGCTGATGGACTGAAAAGGAAGTTGTCTAGTTTCATTTTAAGTACGAGAACATCCATAATCTGTGTGTTCAATGATTTTGAAGTTGATATGACAAACGATTTCTAGAAATGGTATTTCATAGTTTTTTCAGTATAAGAATTAAAATAAATTAAAAATAATTTCCTTTGTATAAATTGGGAGCTGATTTTATTTCTCCTCTTTCAGTTTCCCTTCTCCTTTTCTATCATCATTATCATCACCATAATAATCAGAATTATCGCTGTTCTTTTAAGTTTGGGGGTGGTTTACTGACACAACCAACTGATACGCTGATACAACAATAAACACTCTTTTATATTTTACCTAGATTTATCAATTATTAACGTTTTGCCATATTTGCTCTATCATTCTTTTTATGCTTCTTTCCCTGAAACATTTAAAGTTGCACATATCATGACACCTCCACCCTACTTTAGTGTCTGTCTCCTAAGAAATAAGGACATTCCCTTACATAACCATAATTTCTTTAATCACACCTAAGACATTTAATATTGTTTACAATATTTACAATTTAATATTGCTACAATCATCTAATACAGA